TGAGATCAGCCTGAGCCACAAATAGAGACTCTGTCTGTACAAACAAAACAAAACAGAAAAATTAGCAAGGTGTGGTGGCAGCCACCTGTGGTCTCATCCACTCAGGTGGCTGGGTTGGGAGAATTGCATAAGCCCTGGAGATCAAGGCTGTGGTGAGGTGTGATGGTGCCACTACCCTCCAGCCTGGGTGACAGAATGAGACCCTGTCTCAAAAAAAAAAAAAAAAAAAAAAAGGAATAAAGATTTTTCTCTCTTAAAATTTTTCAATTATCACTTTGGCTAGATTAATGACTATTATTTTACAATGACTTGTGACCAATTTTGAACAAGTGTCTTAAACTTTCCATATTTGACAAACTTTCCAAAATCAACATTTCAGGCCAATTATGAGACTAAAACTTATTTTGCAAATAACTTCGGTCCTCCTATAATTTGCCTTTGGTAAAAATGAGGAACTGGAGAGAGAAAACATTATGTTTCAGAAGAAACTACAGTACAGCTGATACTAAATTCTGGTGTCACTCGTTTTTGAGTTTTGTTATTTCCTTACTGTTTGGACTGAATCCTAAATTCTCTCCTGGCTGTAGGTCTTGAAACTAACATTTTCCAATTTTTCTTCTGTTTTTTGACTTGGAATCATTAGAAATTAAAACAATGCTTTTTCCTAAAGCTCTGCAACCTGAAGCTAGACAATTTAAGTGAACTTCAGGAGAAATTACAACTTACAGATCAATAACCCTCCTGCCTGCTGCTGTGTGGACTGCTCAAAAGGTTCACTTGAACACCTAATCCAGACTGCAATCCAGAGAAATATGCCACTGCAATCTGAACGTGCTTCAGAGACTCTAGAGAAATTAGTTGGTAGACTGCTCCAGATATTCCACTCGAGCCAACATAAAACGGAAACAGGGTGATGCTTGCTCAAAGAATTGCTTTAATTGAACAGGCAGCTGTGTAGCCTGAAAGGGTTCCACAGTTTCTTCCCCTTTGTTCCAGTAACGTGGCTTTGGCCCTTTTCTGCTGCAACTTCACCCCCCTCTCTATGACACCATAACTTCCTAGGAATGAGCCTTCCTAGTGATATGTAGGATCAGATGAAACATAGAACCACAAACTCACATCGTCCATAATGCTTTCTCTGAAAGATTTTGTCCTCAAAATCTTTCAGGGGGTTGGCCAGGTGCAGTGGCTCATGCCTGTAATCCTAGCATCTTGGGAGGATGCAGTGGCTGGATCACTTGAGCTCAGGAGTTCAAGACCAGCCTGGGCAACATAGGGAAATGCCATCTCTACAAAAATTACACACACACACAAATTAGTCAGGTGGGGTGGCATGGGCCTGTAGTCCCAGCTATTACTTGGGAGACTGAGGTAGGAGGATTGCTTGAGCCTGGGAAGTGGAGGTTGCAGTGAGCCGTAAATGCACTACTGCACTCCAGCCTGGGTGACAGAGTGAGACCCTGTCTCAAAAAAAAAAAAGAATAGCAAGTAAATGTAAAGGGGAAAAAAGACCTCAGGACCCTCTTTATGTCAAAGGGAAAGTTAAGCTTTGAGACTGAGTCATGCAACACCACTATCATTTCCCCAGGTGGATCCCTGTTACTACAAAACCTTGTCTCAAAGGATTGTGCATTAGCCAGACCTCCATAGGAAGGCGAAAGGCCTTAGGTATTTCTGGATGACTACCCTCATAAATTGTTCTTGCTGGCCTCAAAACTTTTAAGATGTACATCCTCCCATATAACAAGACGTGTCGATTGCAACTTTAGTTCTGAAATCTCAGCCTAGCTCCTAAGGCTTTAGTTTTAGTCCTTAGGATTTCAGGCTGGTAATGCTTATCTTTCCAGGTACAGAACAAAGACCAGATCAATCATTCTTCCGCCTGCCCACCTCTTCTTATCTGCCTTCCCCCTTTAAGGCCTCTGAAAACCTCTTTAGAGAGAACACAAGCCACAGAGGTTTTCTGTGACCTGTGTTTTCCCAGGGCGTGCCCTCAAGGTCTGGCTCAATAAAAATTTAGACACTTGCCTCAGTCACTCATTTTGGATAATCACCATGAGTTCTGCAGAGCCTTCACTAAACCATTTCCTGCCAGGTGATGTGTACCTAGGTGAGTCAGGTCCTCCCACCCCACCACTCAGTGTTGTGTGCTCTGGTCTGGCCCCAGCTCCCAAGCTGTTAGTATTTCTTTAAGAAAGCAAGGCCAGGTGGGAGAGGCTGAGAAGGAAGTCAGAGGCTACCAAGCATGGAAGGAGACAGGTGGGGCTGTCACTGCTCAGAAGCCACACACTCTGGGTGTGTTTTATGACTGTTTTCTGGATTTGAAGTCTTCTCCCCTTTGTGACCGTTCCAGGAACTCAGGCTTTTCCTGCTTCCTTCTCATTACACACTTATTGTTCCTCGTGTACCTCATTTATGGCCAGAAAATGGCTGTACAAATAGTTGACAATTGAGTAAAAATGTCTTTTTATGAGGACAGGGAACCCGGCCCTATTTTTTCCCCAAAGAGATTGGGGTTCATAAAAGCCAGCTTTTATGCAGGTGTGAGCATTTGTGAGTGTGGGTGAGACAGAAAACAAAATGCTGGCTGTTTGTCAAGCCCTGAGAGTAGAGGGGACAAAAATCATTCTGGAAGGTGGATGTCATTCAGGAGACCTTGGACATCTTAGGATGTCCTCTGCCCAGATAAAGTGGAGGAAGAGGTTAAATTATAGAGTTGGGTGACGCTGGGTACATTACTTCACATCTCTGCCTCAGTTTTCTTTAATCTGTAAAAACTGAGGTGATAGCGCTCAGGATTTTTTGTGAGGACTGGAGATACCTGGAAAGCCCTTAGGATAGTGCCTGGTGCAAAGCGAGTGCTGCATCAGTGTGAGCTGTTGTAATTATGGGAATAGGCAAAGGTGCCATCCTGGGCATGCAGGATGGGGAGGTATTTTCCAGCCAGAGTCCTGGCAGGCCAGCTGGAGATGAAGATGGTGAAGGGGGAGGCTTACCCTCTAGGAGTGGAAGGGTTGGGGAGCAGTAATTCATGCACAGCGTTCTGTGAAAATGCCTGTACCCAGCACCAGGCATACGCAGAGTGGGTGCGGCTTCTGTCGGTTGTTACCTCCTGGGGTCTAGAATACGTCCTAGAGTCAAATGATTTTTCTGAAAGCCAAGCAAGCCTAGAAACAGGTTTGAGGGGGTGCCTTGCAAATTAGCATTCATTATGCCAAAAGAAAGCATTTATCTTTTTTTTTATTTTTTTTTTGTGAGATGGAGTTTCGCCCTTGTTGCCTGGGTTGGAGTGCAATGGCACAATCTCGGTTCACCGCAAGGGCGATTCTCGTGCCTCAGCCTCCCGAGTAGCTGGGATTACAGGCATGTACCACTATGTATAGCTAATTTTTGATTAGTAGAGATGGGGGTTTCTCCTTGTTGGCCAGGCTGGTCTTGAACTCCCGACCTCAGGTGATCTGCCCGCCTTGGCCTCCCAAACCCAGAGTGCTGGGGTTATAGGCATGAGCCACCATGCCCTGCCAAGCATTCATCTTTTTAAAGGAAAGCATTCATCTTGCTAAGGGAATCCCCTCTTTTGGCCCAGGTCATTATTTTCATCTCTGCACTATCCGAATTTATGAGGTTTAAAGAGAAAGACGGAAGAAGAGTGAAATAAGAAAGTGCGTGTATGAATTAACAGGGCAGAATTGGGACTGGTATGTGTAAATTAAGAGGAATCATGTATAGGTTTTATGTGGACATAAAAAGGACTCGTTTTAACCAGACCTCTCCGTGTAAATAATGTGGGCTGTCTTGTGTGGATAACAGACTTCATCACAAGAACATTCCAGCAGAGTCATCAGAGAATGGGAAGTGTGGCTTCTTTGCTACCTGGCAGCTTAGATGGAGTAAGTTGCTGAAGAGAAAGGACAGGAAGGAGCAGATGGGTGAGGGTGAGATAAATAGGATCGTGAAAGAAAAGGACTGAAAGAAATGTTTACCGAGGGCTCATCAGGTGCCAGGCTCTGTGTCCAAAGCCTTACACGTCTTCATTTACTCTTTCAGTGTCATTTTCTGATGCAGTAAGAGTCACCCTAATACTGCAGATTAGAAGAGGCTGAGGCAGGTGAAGGGAGTGGTCCAGGATCATCCAGCCAGCTCATAGCAGAGCTGGTGTGTTTCACCTTAAACTTTGTGCACAGACAGAAATCTTAGGGTGTCTTCTTCCCGGATAAAGTGCAGGATGAGATTAAATTATGGAGTTGAGCGACGCTGGGTACATTACTAAAGGAATGTACCTAAAGGAATGTTCCTGCTAAAGGAATCCCCTCTTTTGGCCCAGGTCATTATTTTTGTCCCTGTACTATCCAAATTTATAAGATGTAAAGAGAAAGACCGAAGAAGAGTGAAATAAGAAAGTGTGTGTATAAGTTAACAGGGCAGAACTGGGACTGGTATGTGTAAATTAAGAGAAAGCATGTATAGGTTTTATGTGGACGTAAAAGGACTTGTTCATTTATACATGCACTTTCTTATTTCTGTGATACACAGAAAGAAGGCAAAGCAAATTTTTGTCGTGGGTGAAGTTTATAAAAGGTACTGGTGTTGGGCAGAATAATGGCCTCCTAAAAATGTCCATGGACAAAGCTAGAAACCATCATTCTCAGCAAACTGACACAAGAACAGAAAATCAAACACCACATGTTCTCACTCATAAGTGGGAGTTGAACAATGAGAACGTATGGACACAGGGAGGGGAACATCACATACCGGGACCTGTCAGGAGGTGGGGGGCTAGGGGAGGGATATCAGGGAGTGGAGAGATTGGGGAGGGATAGCATTAGGAGAAATACCTAATGTATTTGACAGGGTGATGGATGTAGCAAGCCACCATGGCGTGTGTATAGCTATGTAACAAACCTGCACGTTCTGCACAGGTACCCCAGAACTGAAAGTATAATTTAAAAAAATTAACCAAATAAATAAGTTAAAAAAACATCCACATCCTGATCCCTGGAGCCAGTGCATGTTAACTTTATTTTGCAAAAAGACTTTGCAGATAAGATGAATTTAAGAATCTTGAGATGGGGGGTTATTCTGGATAATCTGGGTGGGCTCAGTGTAATCAGAAGGGTTCTTGTAAGTGAAAGAGGAAGGCAGGAGGGTCAGGGTGAGAATGACGAAGTCTGAGTGACTCCACTGGCCATCACTGGCTGTGAATGTGTATCATAAAACAAAGTTACAACACATTCAGTTGTACATCAAATTGGCTTTTATTTAGGATTTATAATTTAAGGCAGCTTCCCCTTTAAAAATACAGCGATAGCTCCCCCTGAGCAATACAATAACAGAACAGTGAGTTTGTCAAATTTGAACAAGAAAAGAGCAGTGGAAATAAATAGATTGGTTAACATCAGGTTAATTCAGATTACTTTTTTATAAAAATAAAAGCAAAGGGGACTTCCTTCTTATGTTAACTCAAGTAGATTGGAATCTCCTTTTTTTTTTTTTAATTGGTCTGTTTTGGGATCTATCTGCTTTCTTAAAATTTCAGTTGGAGTACGTAACATTTAGCATCAGTGGCCCTGTTCTGGAGTCTCTATGCTCTCATTTAGGTGAAGTGCGACCAAAACTTAAAGCACTGACATTATTCTCAGCTACCATCATTTTGGGCTTCCATCATTCATAGGTTATGATGTCCTCCTGATCCCTCATTCCTTTGAGTCTTGTCATTCCAGCCAAAGAGATACGATTTGACATTTGAGGGACAGCTGCACGGAAACGTTTAAAGCTTTTAGAGAATACGGCACACCAGGGAGACTACTGGCGTGACTATCAGGAGGATAACACCAAGAGTTTGGGATGTGCACCTTAGGCAAGATGCAAACCAACTAAAATGGAATAGATCAAAGAATGAGCCGGAGGAGTCTACCCATTTTAACCAAGCAGCACGTTTGTTAATTTCTGCAACTGAGTCTCTGTATTTATCTATGTTAAACAGAAAGCGTCAGAAACAGCACAGACTTCGTCCTGTTCAGCTAGTAGGAAGCAATTCCATTATCTAGCATCTCGTGGCTGGGTTACATTAAAGCAGGGAGTGAGAACAAGTGAGTCCAAAAGTGTAACTCTAAAAGGGACCGTGGTACATTTGAACAAAGAGTTGGGTTAAAGATGCTGCTAATGGCAGCCACTGAGTGGACTAAAGGATCTCTTATGTAAAAATTTGGGGGTGGCATGATAGATCTGACACTCTGTTAAGCTGCCTTCAGAAGCTACTTCCTATGAAATTCTAATTATAGTATTATCCTGCCAAGGGAAAGAGGCAGGCATGAGCAAAGACAAATTAAGCAGGGTAGGAGCCTCATCATGACGGGAAGTCTTGTTCTGATGTCTTGGGAAAGCTGTCCACAGTGCAAAGTTGTCAACTTCTTGTCCTGGTGTGCAGTTTCAGTCTCTGTCGTTACGGCGTTGAACTTATTGGTGAACTCTGAGTGGCCCACACCTTAGGCACGAGTGTTTTCCCATGAAATTTATGTTGTGTTGTCCATCTCTAGCTTACAGAGCTTCAGGAACAGAGCAGATTTTGTTCTTAGCGATTCCATGGGAGAAAATGGGATTGAGACACTGGAAGAATTCAGGGTCCACTCTAGTCTACAGGTGGATAATAGAAGCTCCGTAACAATGTACAAAGCGACAGTCTCATAACAGGTGTACTATAGTTTTTCTTTTCAATATAATTTCTCTCCATAGGCATCTCTCTTTCTACCAAAGATAATCCCAGTAAGGCAAATTTGTTTGCAAAATAAGTTTATTCTCATCAAACTTGGCCTCATTCTTTTCATATAACTGCAGCAACAGTGGAGACTGACCACATAGACTTTTTAAAGGTTTGGTTTGCTGGAAGTTTTTATAAGGAATCTCAGATTAAACTTAGAAACCTCTTGACACTAGGAAGCCAAACTAAGGCTGACTCCAGACTTTGTCTGCGGTACTTAGGGGCTTATTCTCTGTATATCCTAAAATATGACATTCTAGTCAATAGAATGGTAATATAACCAATGTTTTCAAATGTATTCTGTTATAAAAAAATCAGATTTTTATTGAACTTGTGCAATAATTATATTACCATGCAATATAAACAGCCATAAATAGTTTCCCAAGTCTGGAGCAGTCACGTAGGAAGGAAATGTAAACGTCTCCATTTTTATTCACAAAAGTATATTTTATCAAATTGCTGTAAGCTATGGATAACTTAAAAAAATCTTTCCTGAAATATGGGAAACAAGACATTTAAAGGATCAGCAAAATTTCAAATAAAAAATCATAAAAATATTGTCCTCATTAGTTCATTTAGTCCTGTGAAATCAATTATTTTCTCTGCTTGATCTTGGTGGACGGTTTCATGAAGCAATCAGTTTGTTCATTAAAGTTTTGGAAATTCTCAGACAGTCCAATGATATGATCTGTATATTATCAGAAACTTGTATTCCAGAGTACAGGCCAGAGTCTTTTCTATAAATATCCCTGACAAAGAAGCAATTTTAGACTGTAGCTGGTTGCAAATGCTTTAAGGAAGAATCACAGCTGTCTGTGAATGAAAAAGATTTAAAATGAGCATGGTTAAAAATCTGATGAGAGTTTATTATAAGAACACAACTTACATAAAAATTTAGTTACTTCTGTGGCATATGACATTATGGCTGATAACCTATTAGATTTCTAGAATTTCTTACATAATCTTTGGAATACTCACATCAATAACATACCCATAAATGTAGCTTAGAGATTTAGCATCACTTATCATTTGACAATGCTTCCCATATAATTTAGCATATCAAATAAGGTGGCCTTTCCATTTAGCTTCTGTTTCTCAACTAGATTACTGAGTTATTGCAGGAGCCCATTAATGAACAGGGCCAACAAAGTATAGGCTTACGTGTGTTGAAAATCTCCATACGCACTTCTGATACTCCTCGCTGAAAATCGTGGGTTCAGCCCTAAGTCCTGCCTATTAGAACAGGGATTCCCCTTCCTGGCTACACATTAGTAGTATCTGGGGAGGCTTAAAAATTACCAATGGGGCCAGGCGCGGTGGCTCAAGCCTGTAATCCCAGCACTGTGGGAGGCCGAGGCGGGTGGATCACGAGGTCAAGAGATCGAGACCATCCTGGTCAACATGGTGAAACCCTGTCTCTACTAAAAATACAAAACATTAGCTGGGCATGGTGGTGCGTGCCTGTAATCCCAGCTACTCAGGAGGCTGAGGCAGAATTGCCTGAACCCAGGAGGCGGAGGTTGCGGTGAGCCAAGATCGCGCCATTGCACTCCAGCCTGGGTAACATGAGTGAAACTCCGTCTCAAAAAAAAAAAAAAAAAAAAAAATTACCAATGGGTCCCACTCCAGACCAGTAGATGAGAATTTATGGGTGGGGCTTAAGCATCCATTTTACAAAATGTTTCTGAGTGATTCCAATGTGTAGTTGTATTTCCCACCAGATTTCTCTGATTTCTTGTGGCATTCACTCCTCTCTATTTTGGTATTATGATTATTTTTCAGGTTTGTCTCCTGTCATAGAACTTGTATTTCCTAAGGGAAGGACCTTGCCCTCTTTATTTCTGTATCTCTTATGAACACATAAATTGGTCATCAGGAAAAGGTTCTCAGCCACAGGTAGGCTGTGTGCTGAGCTTAAGATTCACATGTTAATGCTACAGGCTTTGTTCTCCATGAGGTCAGAAGCTGCTTGTGATGAAGGGTGTGGGTAAATCCACAGTGCAGTTGGTGGAGGGAGATCACCCTGTTTGACATGTTTTTAGGTGTAACATTGGAACTAAGAATTCTGTGTACATAAGGGGTGGAGAGGCAGGGATGTGTAGGGAGACAGATCTAATTAGGATGACGGAATTATACAAGGGTGCGGTGGTAAAGGAAGTGAGAAGGATTCATAAAGAGAAGAAGTTGGCTGTAATCCCAGCACTTTGGGAGGCCGAGGCGGGTAGATCACGAGGTCAAGAGGTTGAGACCATCCTGGTCAACATGGTGAAACCCTGTCTCTACTAAAAATACAAAAAATATTAGCTGGGCATGGTGGCGCGTGCCTGTAATCCCAGCTACTCAGGAGGCTGAGGCAGGAGAATTGCCTGAACCCAGGAGGCGGAGGTTGCAGTGAGCCGAGATCGCGCCATTGCACTCCAGCCAGGGTAACAAGAGCAAAACTCCGTCTCAAAAAAAAAGAGAAGAAATTGGAACTTATCTGATAGACCGCAGTAGCCCCTGTGGCTTCTTGAGTGTGTGAGTGAACTAGATTTTAGGAAGGTAATAAGGCAGTCATATGCAAGGAAGATTTCAGACACTGGCAGCAAGGGGTGAAGCAGGACTTTGAGCAGCTGTTGAGGTTTATGGAAATGGAGAAAATGACCCAAGTGAGAGGCATTAAAAAAGGATAGACAGTGGAGTACAGGGAGCATGAAGAGTCGGGAAGAGGAGACATGCAGGAATTAGTGTAAGAAGTAGAAGTTTAGGGGCAGGAGGAGAAGATCCAGTCCCAGATACAGGTGAAGAAGTCCTTTCCCTCTCCCGAGCATGGTGGTCAGCACTGCAGGAAACAGAACAAGGAAAGGCCACCATACCTACCAGTCTTCCTGAAATGCAGAAACTACACCAGGGCTGCTGTCAGAGCCACCGCGGCCAGCACTCCAGTCATGATGCTGACAGTGGTCCCAGCTGAGACAATTGAATTGTCTGGTACTGAAAAAAGAGAGAGAAGGAGTGAAGGTGATGTTATTTTACAGCGGGGTGCCCCAGGTACCAGCTCTCGGCATGAAGTCTCTACTTGTTCCTTCAAGGAATGCATTCGTTTTGCAGGAAGGTTCACATGTTTTTTCTCTCACTGTGTTTCTAGTTGGTGATCAGTCTTCTGTCAATTCCATCATGGCCTTTCTGCACTCAGATATTTCTGAAGGCTTTGAAATTTTAGAAAGACCGATTGCTATTTTTGCGTCTCATTAGAACTTTCTATCTTTTCATGGTTGCATCTTTTTCTCAGTGTCTCAGTGGAGGGAGACATGAATACGAGTCTGTGGGGTCTCTGTGACAGGGACTTGATTGACAGAAGGCCCAGGCTGGAGCCTTCTGTGTTTACTAAGTCCTTTGTCCACAGAACTCACTTCTCACGGGCTCCCAGCAGGGGAATGAAATCTCAGTTCTGGGAGACTCTGCTTCTCTCTTATGGGTGAGGACTCCCTGTCAGCCTTGTGGAAGCTCTGAGAACCGCGTCACGATCTGAAACTTCTCTTTCTCCTTCTCAGGAATCATCTCCACCATGGTCTGTGGGCTCTCAGACTCCGCCCACTCCTGCTCTGCTTTTCCTCATGGTGGTTTTCCCCAATAAATTATCTTGCACCTCTAACCCCATCTTGGCTGCATCTCAGTGGATAAAAACTAACATACTTGGCTTGATTCTTTGCACTTAACTTTTTTTCTCTCTCTCATTTTTAGCCAGTAGCCATGTCCTGGTGGGTTTTCATTTGGGGCTTAGCTCTCACCAGTCGACTCGGGCTGACGGTTAATGCCGTGTTAGCTACTGTAAATGCTTTTTTGGTATGTCACTTGATCCATACAGTAACCCTGTTGGTTAGACATGATTTCCATGTTACAGATGAAATGACAGAAGGTTTGAGTGGTGAAAAAACCTACCCAAAGTGATATGATTAGTGAGAAGTAGATCTGGGATATGACTCTAGGACTGCCTGACTTCAAGCTGATGGTAACAGTGGTAATAACAGCAGCCAACATTTGTGAAGTTTTCCTCTGTGTGTGGCATTTTGCTGAAGGCTTAATCAAATATTACAGTAAATCTTTAAAATAATACTATGAAACAGGCAGTCTCATTGCAATTTTCATTTTTTCCCTCATTTCCTGGTGATGAGAATTACTACGATTTTCAGTTGAAGAATTGAAGGCTCAGAGAAGTTAAGAATCTTGTGTGAGAAATTTAAAAAGGTAAATACATTAAAAATAAAGAGAGACCTCAAATCAACAGCCTAGCTTTACCACTTTAGGATATAGAAAAAGAACAGCCTCAAACCGTAGATAGTACATGAAGGAAATAATAAGGATTAGAGTTTAAATAAATAAAATGGAAAATAGAAAAACAAGAGAAGGAATCAATGAAACCAAAAGTTGATTCTTCTAAAAAGATCAACAAAATCGACAGTCATTTACTAGATTGACTAAGAAAAAAGAGAAGATTCAAAGTACTAAAATCAGAAATGAAAACGGAGGTATGGTGGTTCACACCTTTAATCCCAGCACCTTGGCAGACTCAAGTAGCAGGATTGCTTGAGGTCAGGAGGTTGAGACCAGCCTAGGCAACATAGGGAGACACAATGTCTACAAAATTTCTTTAAAAAACGATCCAGGCATGATGGCACATGTCTGCATTCCCAGCTTTTCAAGAGGCTGAGGTAGGAGGATCACTTAAGCCTGGGAGGTTGAGGCTGCAGTGAGCTATACGATGGCACCACTGCACTCTAGCTTGGACTGGGCTGCAGAGTGAAGCCCTATCTATTTTTGAGACTCTGTCTCAAAAAAAAAAAAAAGTTTTATGACATTGAATTTCATGGCGATTTCTTGGTTATAACAACAAAAGCATGGGCAACAAAAGAAAAAATGGATAAGCTGGACTTCCTGAAAATCAAAAACTTTTATATATCAAAGAACATTCTTGAGAAAGTGAAAACGCAATCTATGAAATGGGAAAAATATTTGCAAATCATATATATGATAGGGGATTAATTTCCAGAATATATGAAGAACTACTATAAATCAACAACCGCAAAAATCCAAAAACCCAATGAAAAGAATGGACAAAGTACTAAAAGAGCGATTTCTCCATGAAAGATACACAAATCGCCAACAAGCGTATGCAAAGATGCGGAATACCACGAAGACTTAGGGATACGCAAATCAAAACCACAGTGATACTCCACCCCACACACATTAGGATGGCTTTCATAAAAAAAGAACACAGAGCAATACGTGTTCTCAAGGAGGTGGAAAAATTGGAACTCTAGTGCATTGCTTGTAGAAATGTGAAATATTAGCTACTGTGGAAAATGGTATGGTGGTTCCTCAAAAAATTAAAGAATTAACATTTGATCCACCAATTCCTTTTTCTGTACATACAGCCAAAAGAATCGAAGGCAGCAACTTGAACGGATAGTTGTACACTGATGTTCACAGCAGCATTACTCACAAGAGCCAAAGGGTGGAAACAACTGAAAAGTCCATTGAAAGATAAGTGGATAGGAAAATGAGGCGTATCTATACAACGGAATGTTATTCCATCTTAACAAGGAATGAAATTGTGATACATGGTGCAAAATGGATGAATCTTGAAGACACTCTGCTGAGTGAAATAAGCCAGACACAAAAGGATAACCGTGATAGAATTCCATTTATATAAGATAGTTAGAATACTTGATTACCTGGAGACAGAAAGTAGAAAGGAAGTTCCCAGGAGTTAGGGGGAGAAGGAGTGAGAGTTACTGTTTATTGGGTACAGAGGCTTAGTATGGTAAGATGAAAAAGTTCTGGAAATGAATAGTGTGATGATTACACAAGAGTATAAATATACTTGACTTCTTTTTCTTTTTTTTCTTTTTTGAGACGGAGTCTCAGTTGTTACCCAGGCTGAAGTGCAGTGGTGCCATCTCAGGTCACTGCAACCACTGCCTCCCAGATTCAAGTGATTCTCCTGCCTTAGCCTCCTGAGTAGCTAGGATTACAGGCGCCCACCACCATGCTCAATTAATTATTTTTATTTTGTATTTTTAGTAGAGATAGGGTTTCACCATGTTGATCAGGCTGGTCTCAAACTCCTGACCTCAGGTTATCCACCTGTCTCAGCCTCCCAAAGTGCTGGGATTACAGGCGTGAGCCATCACGCCAGGCAATATACTTCATTTATATTTATACTGTGTCACTTAACTGTACACTTAGAAATAGTTAATGTTAAGTTTTATGATAGATACAGTGGCCGGTAGTCTCACCCTCTCTATAAATACACACTTTTTGGCACTGCCTCCCATGCAGAGCCACCATGGCTGAATCTCCCCATTTCTCTATGTGTCGCTCGCTGTCCTCTGTGCTGTGTCCTATGTGCTGTGCCCACAGCCTCATACAGCCAGTGACTTCAGGGCCAGGACACAGCTCAGGAGTCTGTCCGAGGCTCCCTCTCTTCCCATTTCCCTGAAACCTTACCCGGGGGAGGCTCTGCTGTGGAATGGCAGCTCGATTTAGCCAGATTCAGAGCAGGCCACCTGGACACCTTCTCTACACGCCCCGGTCCCACCCCAAGTGGAGTCAGGGCAGAACCAGTCACTGGGGGAGCTGGAGCAGAGCAGGGAGCAGTCTGAGCTGCTCCTCCCCTATCCAAGGGGCTTCCTCCTCTCATTTGGGGAAAAAGTCTGAGCTTGTTTCAAAGCCTCCTTGTTCCTTGTAGCTCATTGAGTAGGTAAAACAACACGAAGAGGTGACAGAAGGGTTTCTGCACAACATAGTTTCTCCTGCACTATGAAGCCCCTTTCACTATAGGGGGCCTGTTGGGGCTGAGAGAGCCCTGTCCCCACTTTCCAGGCTGGACCCGAGGTCAGCCATGAGGTATTAGAGAAGCAAGGGGAGGAGAGAATCTGCTGAGATGGAGTGAGAGGGCTCAGGATAGGGTTTGGGATTTGCTTGTGTCCAATTCTTGGCTCTTTTGTGAGACTCAGACAGACTCCACCCCAAAGCGCGATGCTGATGCTCCAGAGAGCCACTTACCGGAGACTGTGATTTTCTTGACTGTAGAATTATAGCGACCAGTCGCTGAGTTAGAGACAAAACAGGCGTAGACCCCGTTATGACTTGAAGTGATTTGGGGGATGAAGAGCACTTGTGTGTTTGACTGCGACGTCCCATTGATATACCAAGAATACTTCGGGGGTGGGTTAGAGGCCGAGTGGCAGGAGAGGTTGAGGTTTGCTCCTAAACGGTAAGATGAGTCTGGAGGGGAAATGATGGGGGTGTCCGGGCCATCTGGAGCAAAGAGAACAAAGCCACAGGTGATGTCATCAGAGGAAAGGGGAAGCTCCTGATTGTAGAAGGACCACAGTGTCCCTCTGAGTCTTGTCCCAATCCTGTGTTAAAAAGTCCAAACCATAACCCTCATGTCCACTGAGTCTGGGTCTGAGACATTCACCTGCTTCTCCCATCACAGGCTGTGGACCCTGAGCCTCCCAGGGCAGAAGCAGCCCCTCCCCTCCTATTCTTGGTCCAGGCTGAGCCTGCCCAAGTTTTCCTGGGGCAGGAAGTTATGGCCAGCCTGGGTATCCAGAGGTGGGGTCTGCGTCTTTGGATTTGAGGGGGACTGAGAGTCCTGGCCTCTGGCTAGGTGGATTTGGGCTGGCAGCCGGGGCCACAGAGGAGCAGAAGATACTCACAGAAGACATCCAGGGTGACGGGATCACTGCGGTTTACACTCACTGGGTTCTGGATTTCACACTCATAGGGTCCTTTGTCATTCCTTGTGATGCTGAGTAAAGTGAGGGTCCTGTTGTCACTGGACAGCTGCAGCCTGGGACTGACCAGGAGGCTCTGACCATTTACCCACCACAGGTAGGTTGAGTTCTGAGTCTCAGGTTCACAGGTTAAGGCCACAACATCCTTGTTCTCCACGGGGTTGGAGTTGTTGCTGTTGATGTAGGGCTTGGGCAGCTCCGCTGTGCAGATAACAGAGAGGATTGCCCTGTGTTGCACCTGTGATTCCTCCACAGGCATCTTTCAATCAGAGTTGGCATCCCCCACCCCTCAGCCCACCGAATCCTTAAAAGCCCACAGCAGGTGTGTGTGTCACAAGACAGATGCACCATGATCTGAGGCTCAGAGACCGTGAGGCTGCCTGCTCTGTGTGGGAGAAGCACGGACTTTGTCAAGTGTGGATTGGGCGGCAGCATCCGGTTGTGGACAGACACAGGACTGGGAGTCAAAGCCCCCAGCACCTCTCCTGGTCCTTCCCTGATGGCTGATGGCCTGGCCAACCTGGGGACTTGTGGGTGCTGAATCCCATTCATCTGTACAGTCCCTCACCACCCAGCTGAGGTGTTTTCTCTGAGGCTTTTTTTCAAGGCTATCCTGGAGATGGGCAATGATGGGGAGGGTGCATGAGCAGAAACAGCAGAGGAGACCAGGAGCAAGTCTAGAGGTGGGTTCGGGGGTCAGGTTGTGGGCTACAGGTGGGGCAGCTCTACCCAAGAGTTTGATGGAAACAGAATTTCATTTTGGGAAGAAGAAAAGAGTTCTGTTGGCCAGGGGAGGTGGCTCATGTCTGTAATTCCAGCACTTTAGGAGGCCAAGGCGGGCAGATTGCCTGAACTCGGGAGTTTGTGGCCAGCCTGGGCAACACGGTAAAACCCTGTCCCTCCTAAAAAAAATACAAAAAATTAGTGGGGGCATGGCGGCATGTGCCTGTAATCCCAGCTACTTGGGAGGCTGAGGCAAGAGAATTGCATGAACCCAGGAGGCAGAGGTTTAAGTGAGCTGAGATTGAGCCACTGCACTCCGGCCTGGGCCACAGAGCGAGACTCCGTCTCCACAGAAAAGAAAAGAAAAAAGAGTTCTGTGGTAGTAGGACAGTGGGAATATATTTAGTACTGCTGAGCTGCACACATGGAACGGTTAAGATGGCATCTTATATTAGATATATATAGTGGCTGGTAGTCTTACCCCCTCTATAAATACACACTTTTTGGCAATGCCCTTTCCCTGCCGTGCAGGGTCCCTGTGGATGAATCTCTGTATGTCTGCAAGTGTACGTCACTCACTGTCCTCTGTGCTGTGTCCCATGTGCTGTGCCCACAGCCTCATACAGCCACTGACGTCAGAGCCAGGACACGGCTCAGGAGTCTGCCTCAGGGGTCCCTCTCTTCTTATTTCCCCGTAGGCTGACCCTGGAAAGGCTTGGCTTCAACTGGCAGCTTGACTTAGCCAGATTCAGGACAGGCCACCTGAACACCTTCTCCACATGCCTGGGTCCCACTCCAGGTAGAATCAGGGCAGGGCCAGTCACCAGGGGACCCCAGAGTGGAGCTGGGAGCAGAGTCTCAGCTGCTCGTCCCTTATCCGAAGGGGCTTCCTCCTCTCATTTGGGGGAAAAGTATGAGCTTGTTTCAAAGCCTCAGATGTTCCTTGTAGCTCATGGAGTAGGTAAAAGAACACAAAGTGGTGTCAGAAAGGGACATGTTGGTGACAGAGAGGAGCAACTTGACCTTGAGACCCTTTTTCCCCCTCTGTGAAGAAAGGTTTGCTACTGAACAGTAAGACGAGTCTGGAGGGGAAATGGTGGGGGTGTCCGGGCCATCTGGAGTCGAGCCCTATGAAGTGGGATTCATCAGCCCCTTCCACTCCATGGGGCTCGGGGCTGATGAAGCCCTCCCCACATTTCTCAGGCTGGACCCAGGGTCAGCCGTGAGAAATCAGAATAACAAGAGGAAGAGGGTCTGTAGAGGCAAATTGGGAGGGCTCAGGATTGAATGTGGGATTTGCTTGTGCCCACGGGATGCACACTGGGAAAGAACATTTCTTCCTGGCTCTTCTCTGAAAACCAGACAGATTCTACTCCAGAATGTACTGCTCATGGTCCTGGGATCCACTTACCGGAGACTGTGATTGTCTTCACTGTGGTCCTGTTGCGGCCTGTGGCCAGGTTATTGGCGTGGCAGGTATAGAGTCCACTGTTCTTCTCAGTGATGTTGGAGACAAAGAGCTCTCCTGTGTTGTGCTGGAGGCTCCCATCAATCAGCCAAGCATACTGTGCAGGTGGGTTAGAGGCTGCATGGCAGGAGAGGTTGAGGTTTACCCCTGGATGGTAATGGCTGTATGAGGGGGAAATGATGGGAGTATCCGGGCCATCTGCAAGCAAAGAGAATACACAGGTGAATGTCATCAGAGGGAAGGGGAAGGTCCTGGTCTGTGGAAGGGCCACAGTGTCCCTCTGAGCCAAGTCACAACCCTGAAGTCCCTGCAAAACCCCCATGTGTCCACTTAGCCAGAGTCTGAGACATTCATCTGTTTCTCCCATCACGGCTGTGGACTTGAAGCAGCCCTTCCCCTCCTATTCTTGGTCAGGACTGCCCTGCATGGATTTACTGGGGGCAGGGCCAGCCTGGGTGTCCAGGGGCAACTGTCTCTGTCCTTGGACCTGAGAGAGACTAAAGACCTGGCCTCTGGCTGGGTGGATTTGTACTGGCAGTCTGGGTCACAGAGGAGCAAAAGGTACTCACAGAGGACATTCAGGGTGACTGGGTCACTGCGGTCAACACTCAATTGGTTCTGGATTCCACACTCATAGGGTCCTGCGTCATTCCTTGTGACTCTGAGTAGAGTGAGGGTCCTGTTGTCACTGGACAGCTGCAGCCTGGGGCTGACAGGGAGTCTCTGACCATTTACCCACCACAGGTAGGTTGAGTTCTGAGTCTCTGGTTCACAGGTTAAGGCCACAGCATCCTCGTCCTCCAAAGGGCTGGAGTTGTTGCTGGTGATGTAGGGCTTGGGCAGCTCTGATGTGCAGATAACAGAGAGAAGATTGCCCTGTGTGACACCTGTGATTCCTCCCCCTGGACACCTTTCCATAAGAGTTGGCATCTCACACCTCTCAGCCCAACTGAGTCCTTAAAAGCTCATGGCAGGTGTGCGTGTCACAAGACAGATGCATGATCATCTGAGGGCGCAGAGACTGTGAGGCCGCCTGCTCTGTGTGGGAGAAGCACAGACTTTCTCAAGTGTGAATTGAGCAGCAGCATTGGGTTCTGGGCAGACACAGGACTGGGGGTCACAGCCCCCAGCACTTCTGGTCCTTCCCTGACTGGCTGACTGCCTGGTCCATTGGGGTCCTCACCTGGAATTTGAAGGAGCTGAGTTTCTCCCAGCTGCACTGTCCTGCACCACCCGGCCAAGGTGTGTTTTCTCTGAGGCTTTGCTATTTAAGGACATCCTAGAGGTGGGTGATGATGGGGATGGGTGTTTGAGCAGAAATAGCACAGGAGGCCAAGCAAGTCTAGAGGTGACAAGTCAGCGGTCAGACTGGGCCACGGGTGGGGCAGCTCTGCCCAGGAGTTTGATGGAATCAGAGTTTCATTTTGGGAGGAAGAAAAGAGTTCTGCGGGTGGATGGTGGTGATGGCAGCAGAACAGGGGAACATATTTAATGTCTCTAAACTGCACGTGTGGAAAGGTGAAGACGGTAAGTCTTATGTTAGATGTGTACTGTCACCCTCTGTATAAATACACAACTTTTGGCACTGCCCCTTCTCCACCATGCAGAGCCCCTGTGGGTGAATCTCCCGATTTCTCCAAGTGTGCGTCACTCACTGTTCTCTGTGCTGTATCTCATGCCCTGTGCCCACAGCCTCATACAGCTGGTGACGTCAGAGCTAGGGCACAGCTCAGGAGTCTGCCCTGAGGCTCCTTCTCTTTCCGTTTTCCTGCAGCCTGACTGGGACCAAAGGAGGCTTCGATGTTGATTGGCAGCCTGGTTTAGCCGACTTCAGGACAGGCCACCCAGGCTCCTTCTCCACATATCCAGGTCCCACCCCAGGTGGAGTCAGGGCAGTGCCAGTCACTGGGGGAGCCGGTGCAGAGCAGGGAGCAGAGTCTCAGCTGCTCCTCCCTCATCCAAGGGTCTTCCTCCTCTCATTCGGGGAAAAAGCATGAGCTTGTTTCAAAGCCTCATCCGAGTCACAGACAGCCTGGATGTCCAGGGGTGAGGGTCTGTGTGCTTGAACCTGAGAGACTGAGAGACCCTGCCTCTGGCCATGTGGATTTGGGCTGGCAGCCTGGGCCAGAGAGGAACAGAGATACTCACGGAGGACATTCAGAGTGACTGGGTCACTGCAGTGGGCACTCACTGGGCAGCTCATGGAGAGGGCAAAAGAACACAAAGAGGTGACAGGAGGCATATTGGTGACAGAGAGAGGCAACTTGACTTTGAGAACCCTTGCTCCTTCACACTCTCTGAAGCTTCTTCCACTACACAGGGCTCTGGGGGTGAGGGAGCCTTCTCCCCACATTCCAGGCTGGACCCAGGGTCAGCCATGAGAAACCAGAACAAGGGGAAGAGTGTGTAGAGACAAATTGAGGAGGTTCAGGAGAGAATTTGAGATTTGCTTGTGCCCATTGGACACAGGCTGGGATAGAAACTTTCTTCCTGGCTCTTCTCTGAAAACCAGATAGACTCCACCTCAAAACGTGATGTCCATTTCATGGATCCACTTACCAGAGACTGTGATGATCTTGACTGTGGTCCTGTTGAGGCCAGTGGCTGAGTTTTGGACATAGCACATATAGGATCCGCTGTGATCCACAGTGATGTTGCGGATCAAGAGCTCCTGTGTGTTTATCTGGAGTGATGTTCCGTTAACAAGCCAAGAGTACTCTGCAGGTGGGTTAGAGGCTGCGTGGCAGGAGAGGTTCAGATTTTCCCCTGATCTGTAAGATGTGTCTAGAGGGGAAATGGTGGGGGCATCCGGGCCATCTGGAGCAAGGAGAATAAAGCCACAAGTGATGTCATCAGAGGGAAGGGGAAGCTCCTGCTCTGTGGAAGGACCACAGTGTCCCTCTGAGCTGAGTCACAACCCTAATGTCCCAACCAAACTCCTTTTGTATCACCTGTTTCTGCCATCTCACGCTATGGACCCTGAGCCTCCCAGGACAGGAGCAGCTCCTCCCCTCCTATTCTTGGTCAAAGCTTGGCCTGTCCAGGTTTTCCTGGGGCAGAGAGTCACAGACAGCCTGGATGCCCAGGGGTGAGAGTCTGGGTGCTTGAACCTGAGAGAGACTGAGAGACCCTGCCTCCATCTGTGTGGATTTGTGCTGGCAACCTGGGCCAGAGAGGAACAGAGATACTCACAGAGGACATTCGGAGTGACTGGGTCACTGCGGTGGGCACTCACTGGGTTCTGGGTTTCACATTCGTAGGGTCCTGTGTCATTTCTTGTGATATTGAATAGAGTGAAGGTCCTGTTGTCACTGGACAGCTGCAGCCCGGGGCTGACAGGGAGGCTCTGACCATTTACCCACCACAGGTAGGTTGTGTCCTGAGTCTCAGGCTCACAGGTTAAGGCCACAACATCCCTGTTCTCCACGGGGTCAGAGTTGTTGCTGTTGATGTAGGGCTTGGGCAGCTCCGCTGTGCAGAAAACAGAGAGAAGATTGCCGTGTGTGGCACCTGTGATTCCTCCACAGGCATCTTTCAATCAGAGTTGGAATCTCCCACCTCTCAGCCCACCAGAGTCCTTGAAAGCCAATGGCTGGCATGTGTGTCACAAGACAGATGCATGACGATCTGAGAGCTCAGAGGTAGTGAGGCTGCCTGCTCTGTGTGGGAGAAGCACAGACTTTCTCAAGTATAAATTGAGCAGCAGCATTGGGCTATGAACAGACACAGGACTGGGGGGGCGGTCACCACCCCTGGTGCCTCTCCTGGTCCCTCCCTGACCAGCTGACTCCCTGGCCCACCTTGGGGTCCTCACCCGGAATGTGCAGGTGCGGGGTCCCTTCCATCTTCGGTCCTCCTTTTTTTTTTCTTTTTTTTTTTTTGGGACGGAGTTTCGCTCTTGTTACCCAGGCTGGAGTGCAATGGCGCGATCTCGGCTCACCGCAACCTCCGCCTCCTGGGTTCAGGCAATTCTCCTGCCTCAACCTCCTGAGTAGCTGGGATTACAGGCACACGCCACCATGCCCAGCTAATTTTTTGTAGTTTTAGTAGAGACGGGGTTTCACCGTGTTGACCAGGATGGTCTCGATCTGTTGACCTCGTGATCCACCCGCCTCGGCCTCCCAAAGTGCTGGGATTACAGGCTTGAGCCACCGCGCCCGGCCCTCTTCGGTCCTACTTTGTTACCCTAGGTGTGTTTTTTACGTGGTTTCCCTTTGCAAAGACATCCTAGAAATGGATAATGATGGGACTTCACATTGTCCTTAAACCCTGTAGATACTGTGCAGCCTGGCCTGGGATTGGATGTTTCAGCAGAAAAAACCCAGGGGACACAGGGGCCAGCCTGGAGGTCAGTTCAGTCGTCAGGCAGTGGAGGCATAAGGTGGGGCAGTTTCCCCAGATATTAGATGATGACTGACTTGAGCCAGTGACCCCTAAAGTTAGAGCAGAGTTTTGGGAATGATCTAGAAAAGAGTGAGGGGACAGGCAGGGCTGCCTGGATTTAACAGCAGAACCATGTTCTTTGTCTTTGATTTTTAATGTCCCTTCTCCCTTTGCAAAGGGCAGATGAGGATGCTGTGGATTTTTCTAGAAACACATGTGGATGTTTGCAAATGCAGAACTGACTGGCAGAAAAGGGGGAGCATGAACTGCTGGAAATCTGGCTCTTATGGACCATGTGTGTTTGAGTTATAAGACAGAACTTTGAGAAGAAGTTTTGCAAACATTTTCTCCCATTGGACATTCTGCAAAATGAAAGAAGCCACTCACAGGGCAGACACTGTAGGATTCCACTTATATGAGGTCCCTAGAGTAGGTGCACTCATGGAACCCGAGAGTAGAGCAGTGGTTGTCAGGGGCTGGGAGTGGGGGGATGGAGAGGTGTTCAGTGGGTCTGCAGTTTCAGTTACGCAGAATGAGGAGGTTCTAGAGACCTGCTGTTCAGCTTGGTGCCTGTATTTCATTACAGATTGAGTGTCTCTTATGCATAAGGCTCAGGACTAAAAGTGTTTTGGATTTCAGACTGTTTTTTATTTTTTGAATATTTGCTGTATACTTAGCAGTTTAGCATCCCAAATCTGAAAGTACAAAATCCAAAGTGCTCCAGTGAGCATTTCTTTTGAACATCAAGTCAGTGATCAAAGAAATGTTGGATTTTGGAGCATTTCAGATTTTGGATTTTTGGATTTGGGATACTCAACCTGTAATACTATAATTTGCCTTTTAAAATGTTTCAGGAGTGGCTGAGCATGGTGGCTCACGCCTGTAATCCCAACATTTTGGGAGGCTGAGGTGGGAAGATCACCTGAGGTCAGGAGTTCAAGACCAGCCTGATCAACATGGAGAAACCCCGTCTCTACTAAAAATATAAAATTAGCCAGGCATGGTGGCACATGCCTGTAATCCCAGCTACTTGGGAGACTGAGGCAGGAGAATCGCTTGAACCCGGGAAGTGGAGGTTGTGGTGAGCCGAGATCATGCCATTGCACTCCAGCCTGGGCAAGAGGGAAACTCCGTCTCAAAAAAAAAAAAAAAAAAAAAAAA